GGCACTGGGTTGGGGGGGGGGCATCGATTCCCACAGTCATAAAAATGAAGTTGTCTCCACTGTGTCACCCACACTACCCTCCCGCCTCTCTGTCTCTCTGCCCCAGACTGAAGGTGCCATCTTTAGTTTATCGCTCAGCACTGAGACCAGCGGCAGCAGCAACATAGCAACAGGTCACACAGTGTCTGTGACTTTAGCTTCAGAAGTCTAAAGATGACACCACAATCATGGCGTTTGTCTGGAGCAGGAAGTTCTAAATGTCAGCTGAGGGATGGAGCAGAGCTGAGGATAGCAACAATCAGTCCCACCAAACACGTCCAGAATGAGACTTGTAGAGAAATAGATTTCATATTTGCCATCAAGGCACACGGCCACTCACAGCAGAGACAGTGGAGCCTTTAACGAGGGCTTTTGAGCTTTTGAGGGCCCAAGTTAATAACTTCAGGAGGCCAGACAAGCCATGTGACTGTACAGTCACGCCGTTGCAGAAACTTAGCTGGTTAGATATCCCAAAAATTCTGACAGTCTGTCCTCCAGAAAACCCGTCCTACTGAAAGTATAGTAGATGCAAACCACAGTAACCGCATATTACAAGCAGATTCAGGCAAGAAAGTGACAGACGCTTGGTGATTATATCAGAAGGAACACAAGCTTTCTCCTTACTGACAGTAGTCATGTGGTTAGTGGAGTGATAGTCCTCCTGCCAGGATCCCTGCTGGGCCACCGTAATGTGACACACACCATCCACATGACTCATGCCTCTGTCACAACCAGAGTAGGAACCTGAGCCAAGTGTGGCAGCGCTAAAATCTGCTCAGAGCCCAAAATGGACGAGTTGTAAAGTATCACTCATCATTTTTCTAAAGCCAGAAGTAGAGCATTAGTCACCCTGAGAGAGTCCATTACCAGCACGAAGACACAGTTGTGAGTTATGCTGTCAGCAGCAGGAGAGTTTAGCTGTGCAGTGTGATGACAGCTGTGGGTTACTGGGACAAGACAGTGTTTTGGAAACTGGAGTCCTGAGAGCTCGACTTCCTGTTCTGATGGACAGATTGCACCAGGACACTTAGAGAAATGAGCCTTAGGGCCCAGCTGGTGTCTGACCTGTCGGAGGTGGTGCTGTGATGGTCGGGGACAATAGTGTGGTGGTGATGGAGTGATCCTAATCACATTGATGAACACGCTGTGAGGGTGATATATCTTTAAAGCCACATTCCTATGTGTCAGGTGCACAGCCTCCTTTTCCAGCATAGGAAAATAGGACAGGCATGTGTGTGTCCTGTGGTGTATGACTCAACCACAAATGTAGTAGTGTGTAACGAGAGTGATCATATGGTGGAGGTGGTGGAGTGGCTCCGACCTGTGAGCCTTTACTCACAACAAGATCTCTCTGAGGTGTTTTCAAAAGGATCCCTGAGATATAAGGTTGAGGTTTGACAGCTTTAAAATGATAAAAACTTTCCTAAATGTAGAATTCATGATAGCTCTCTTGTACTTGAGTTCATTCAATTGTATAGGTGTACCTAATAAAGGGGCCAAGGAGGGTATGTTCTCATAGGGATACATTTACGATTTGATTTGTGAGTAGCATTCATGCTCACTTTTCTTAAATTAGGTTTCAAATATTGTGCTGTATTTGTGTTTTTATTTCTAGTTATTATCTATGGTGATTCGATTGAAACATTTTTATTTTATTTCCCATTTTTATAGGATATTTATTTGCTTAATAATAAGTTTTACTGCCTTTAATCATCATTTTTAGACCTTGTTCATAACCACATTTTAGGGATAATTGCCAGAAATGTGTATGGTAAGTGATTTTGTCCAAACATAATATCATTTTCATTATAACTGTATTTTTTGATATCCTCAAATACTCACGTGCTCTGCTAGTGAGGTTAAAGAGGACAGGGCTGTCTGTGTGCACGACATTTCAAACCAACATCTCCTTCAGGTGTGAAGACAACACAGAAGGGATGTTAAGTGGCTGCTCCCTGGATAAATGTTTAAAAGGCCATATTTTAATTTAGAAATCTAGTGTGAATTTGCTTTAGCAATACGGTGTATTGTGCCCAGTACCTACTGTACAATAGGTCCACTCAGCAGGTATTATCTGGTCCTTACAATCTGACATGGTTAATATCAGACTGACCGTGCTAGTCTGCACTAAGCATAGATCCAGCAGCTCTGTGTACCGTAGGCGTGAGAACAGCCGCGAAGTTCCACTGTGTGTGGCAGTTGGTCAGCAGAGGGAATGACTGCTGCTCCTTTCAGATAAGCCTCTGTTTAACTGTTCAGACCATGACAAACAAGCCAAAGTCAAAAACAGCGAAGATGATAACAAACATACTCAAAACCTCATCCCCTACTGATACTGTTCACAGTCCTGAACAGTCTGTAAGAGTTCAGCTGAACTGTGGGGGCATACACTTGGTCTCCCACTCAGAGACCCCGGTCTCTGCTCGCTCCTCCATGCGCGCCACGCTCTGGCCGGCCACCTGTCTCACTGTGAGAGCCAGTGCTGATTTTGGCTCTGGTGGTGCCACTGGGATGGAGCTAGAAATCCACAGCTTTAACCCCCCTGTGTCTCCACTCCTTCCCTCTCCATCACACTCCTGCAGACAGACACACAGACTGTTTTGTCCATCCTGGTGAAATCTCAGACCTTTGAGATACAAAGCCTGTTCTCTTAATGCTCTTACTGTATGCAGATACAAAGCCTGTTCTCTTAATGCTCTGACTGTATGCATGCGACAGGAGGTCAACACAAAGAGGTTTCCAGAGGATCTGTGTGAGCCTGGGAAAGAAAACGTACAGTCTCCACATCTCTGTTGGTGTCAAAGTGTGATTACTTTTACAACTGAGACCCAGTGTGATTTTTTTTAAAGCCTTTCCCGCACAGTGTTTGCACTGTTATTGTCTAAACACTGCGACTCTGTGATGAAACGAGTGGTTTGGAATGTTATTCACTAACTGCTGCTCTGTATGTGTACAGCATGTCTCTCTTTTTGAGCTGTATAAGTGTGACGGCTCAACGATAATGTGACTTTTATTTAGCATCAAAATGAAAAAGTACACTCCCATGCATGTGGTGTTGTGTGAATGATTTTCTACAGGTGTCCCTGTTCACACCAGACTGTCCCTTTAGACCGGGGCGTCTGTCTGTGGCCCCCCATTGAGGTGAAGAGCACCTGCACAGATATAGCAGCACTTTTTGCTGACTGTTTAAAATCTTTACAGATTACCATCCAGCAGGACAGCGGTCTGGACGTCACAGCCCCGAAACATGGCAAGATCGACCTGACCAACGCTCCTCACGTTGGAGGAAACCAGTGGGCAGGAGGCACAGGTAACCAGTGTTTCTTACTGGGTTAGCAACACACTCAAATTCCATGTGCCCTGTAATACTGACTAAAATCAGTGGCATCACAATGCACACATTACTATGATTGATGTCGTGTAAGGAGGCTGTTTGAGACTGCAGTGGTGTGCTGCTTCGCTAGGCAAGGCACAAAACATCTGGCGACACAGCTGCTTAGAGGATGGTAGGAAACCATAAAGAGAACAGTAATCTATAACCGAGTAATTTCCTATTGCCCCTGTTGTTCAGCTTTATGTTTTGGGGTTAAAAACTAAGCAAGGAAGCACCGTCACAACGTGGACAGAGCTTCATGATCTCAGATCAGTGATTGGTTGTCTAGGGCCTCCAAAAACTGTGATTGGTTCATGCTTAATAAAGTGTTTGTGCATAGGTGGCAGAGACACAGCAGGGCTGGGTGGCAAAGGGGGGCCCTACCGCCTGGATGCAGGACACCAGGTCTACCAGGTTTCCCAGGCAGAGAAAGACGCTGTTCCAGAGGAGGTCCGCAGAGCTGCGCGTGAGATGGCGGAGAAGGCCTTCAAAGAACGGTAGGTGGCATTACTACAGACAGTACGGTGACTAATGGGTGCACATGTCCAAACTGAGTTGGCTCTGCAGGTGGAAAGTGCATGCCGGTGTGCAGATGTTTTGGACTGGCCATCTTTTTCCATCTTGGAAACTCCCCAGAACTGAAGTATGGGTTGTGTGTGAAGTGGAGCAGGTGTGTGTTTATGTGTGGGCCTTTCTGTTTTGACCATCTGCAGGGTTTCCTGCTCATTCAGCCATCCCAGGTACGGAGCTCCATCCTGGGCAGTCAACCAGTGGCTGCACTGCCCCTGTTGGATGAACACAGTGTTGGATCCCACCGGCCTGTGTGTGTGTGTGTGTGTGTGTGTGTGTGCCTGCACATACGCACACTGGATTCAGAGTGCAGGGTTGAGAGGGCACCCCTTTCACCAGCTCCATCATGAAGGCCCTGTTTGTTCGTTTTAGCTTCAAACAGTCTCGTTCTCTTTGCTGTCTCCCCCCACACCCACCTCGTCCCCTCCTCTTTTTCTTCATACACTGGCTGCTTTCACACCAAGCAGACGACCCCGGTGACCTTGCTGACTCTTCTCTCTCTGTCACCAGTCTTTTTTGTCTCTCCTGTCTGTACCCATGTCACTACTCTTGCCTATCCAAATTTCTTCAGCACCCTCTCCCGCCCACCCTGTCTTCAGTGTCCCACTAAGCCCAGGGGAAATCATGCAGCAACATGCTGATACCCTGTTTCCAAGCTGATGTCATGTACTTGACTAAAATACCTATAGATATGCCTGACGTGTGCACAGTCTTTTGTGTACTTAGCTTTAGGTGAAGTATCAAACCATGATCCCGCCAGACACACAGGCATAAACAGGCTTCGGTATGTGTACAACATGAAAACACCCATGTGAGCATGTTTACACTCAGACACACATACCCCAGCAGCGTCTCCATACCTGCCAGCCTGGTCAGGAGAAAGGTTCAAGTTTTTAATGTGACTTGGAAAACTCACTGACTTCAGGTCACAAAAGATGGTGCACAAGTGGTCATGTCTGTGCAGGATACAAGTCACCGAGTGAGCAGCATTAGTGGAACTTTAAGGGATTTAGGAGAAAAGTTCGTCCTCTTGTAGGAATCCTTTTCTTTAGAGTGAAGTGAAGTGTTAACTGCATGGCAGTGTAATAAGGATCGAATTTGAAAGACTAAACATATAAATGAAGATAAGGCGAGTTTCCTTCAAAGACTGGAAGGCATTCTTCTAGAACTGAGGGGTGTTGGACAAGTTGTTCACCATATTTCCTACTTTTATTATTTATAAATACAGAAATTCTCATATATCATATCTTCGCGCACCAACGAATAGCAAGGCAAGCACAGTGAGCAGTAACTACGATTTGTTGGAGGATGGGATGAACACAAGAAGTATAAGTGCATAGGCACTGTTAAAAGAAAACATGTTTGTTGTTCATCGCTGGAGCCCTGGGAGAGGCAGGTCGTGTGGACGTGTGCATGTACCTGTAGACAGTGTTGGCCCAGCTCCTTGTTTGTGTGGGTGTTGTGTGACATTTCAGTGTCCTGTCTCCACCTTGAGCCAGAACAGACTCTTTTTGTCATTCACTCTTCGTCTCTCCTGTTTACGTCAAGGTTCAGGAATTTAAAGGAAATAGCTGGGGCCACTGGCCAGTGTGTGCTCACCACATATACACTCACACGTCCTCAAACCTGCACACATAGGAATGTGTGGACGAAGCTGCTGAGCTTTGTGGGTGGACATGATGTGGTGTGAATGCAGAGGAACAGACAGGATGTGCAGGTTGAAAATAACTGCACCGCAAGAATGAAGGTCAGTTACTGTCACTACAAATGAACGGGATACATTTAAACATGCATCTTAAATATTCAGCAGAGGAGTAATCATGTTCTCATGAGCTACCAGTCGAATGAAGCTGCACACTAAAACCAAGACTCATCGTTTTCAGTCTTCCAGCTTTGCTGTAGATCAGTTTAAACTGATGTGACCTGATCACAGGTGTCCCTTCATTTAGGATTTCAAATGAATGAAATGATTTAACAGTGGAGTTCTTGTCTATGTGGGCTTTTTGACTGAATGAAATGATTTAACAGTGGAGTTCAGCTTGCTTCAAATACCTGACATCATGCATGAGTCAGTGAACTTGTCTATGTGGGCTTTTTGATTGGGATTATACAGATAAGGTGAGCTTGGGGGGCACATAGACACCTGTGTTCTCATGTCCACAGGTGTGTTTTGTAGAGAACACACACATGCAGACATGTCATAAAGTGCACACATTTAACAACACCAACCCCTGTGTCAGTTTATGCACAGGTGTTCTGAGCTTGTGAAAAGATCTCTGGGTAGGACCCTTACCACATCCACAGAGATTCTGTTTGAGTGTGTCAGCGATGCTGAAGTACCTGCACAGTGGGATTATACAGATAAGGTGAGCTTGGGGGGCACATAGACACCTGTGTTCTCATGTCCACAGGTGTGTTTTGTAGAGAACACACACATGCAGACATGTCATAAAGTGCACACATTTAACAACACTGACCCCTGTGTCGGTTTATGCACAGGTGTCCTGAGCTTGTGAAAAGATCTCTCTGTCAACTTTCTAATTTGTTTCCCTGTCTACCTATCTGTCTGTCTGTCTACTGGTACCTGAAACCTGCAGTTCACGTTATTGATTAGAATTCAAAACAAGAAGAAGAAAGAGGATGATCCTCCCAGCAGCATTTGGCTGTTTGCTCTTTATGAACTTGGAACCTTTATGGAATCTAAGTTAAGACAGACTCGCTTCTCTAACTCATGTACAACTGGAAATCAAATGAGATTTTAAAGTATCCTGGGAGTTTTGAACCAGTAGTATTACTGCAGTACAATGTTTTTGTCAGTAAGTTCACATAGTGTTTCTATTTTATGGTGGACATGCAAGAGGAGGTAATAAATCTGTGTACAGATACAAGTGGGCCTAAAAAAATTGATTTAAATCTTGTGTATACTCTGCTTGTACCCAGTTAAACTGTCAGTCTCTTGTTAAAGCCCTTTAAAGCTCAAATCCAGCGCATTATGTGCTTGACTACAGTGGGCCCTTCTCTCTAAACAATCAAATCAAGCCATTGCTGTTAAACTGTTTGTCTTTCTGTCCTTCCATCTCAGGTTGAAGGAGATCGACATGAGCGAATATGATGCTGCCACATACGAGCGCTTCTCCAACACTGTTCGGAGACAAGTTCAGTCTCTACGCATCATCCTGGACAGTTTACAGGTCAGCTGCACTCCACTGTAGTTTACATAGGGTCCCTTGTTTTGATGAATTCTCACTCATCAACACTGTAGAACAAGACACGACCTTTTAGGTTTGGGGTAGACAGTTTAGAGCTTTGTGTCATGTACGGTAGGTAACCGGTGGACCCAATATGCAGACGA